CTGAGACAGTGTTGCAAGGCAAAAGTCCTTATTATGGCCAGGCCAACTTGTTCTCCATGGGAGTAGGAGAAAAAGTGGCATCTAAGCTGCAGCAGGGGAATTCTAATATAAGTCTTTCATGGCCTTTGCAAGCAAGCATTGCTTCACAAAAGCAGAACTTTTGCGATTAGTCAAGTCGACCTATTTCTCAGAAGGTCTTTGTGGTCTGTTGGTTTGAAAAACAATCTGCACAATAGGAACATAAATCTCATAAATTTTACCTAAGAAATACAAGTGCAGATATCATGACTCTGGAAGCTGAGCAGTAGGGAGAATGAACTGCTACTGTTTAAGCCGTGTTAAAGCAACAGTGGAGGCAGAAGTGGGGGAGTCAGCTTCTAGCCAAGAGCTTCCCCTTGCCTCTTCCCGGGATCTGTGAAGCAGAGATGGCAGGAGAGACCTTCTTAGTGGGTCTGCTGTGGGGACTCAGTGTTTTAACTCACCTATAACGGACTGGTTTCCACTTTGTTGCTAGAGATGCTACTTCTAAGTCCCCTTTGAAAAAAAAGGTGGATTTTTCATGGAAAAGATGGGTTCCCATTGTAAAGGATCCCTGTTGTAAAAGAGCCTCCGATGGAAAGGTACTCCCCACTGGAAAGAGAGGGGTGCCCATGGAAAAGAGTGGTCCCCCTGTAGAAAAGAGGAAGCTTGTAGAGAAGCTTTGTTAGGAGGCTCCCAAAGGCTCTGGGGCTCAGCAGGCATGCTTTGGACTACCCTACTTTTGGGCAGCTGTTGCTGATGGGGGCATTTTCCAAATGGGGATAGAGACTCAGGGAAAGGGCTTCTGATCACAGTGACTTGTTCTTCCAGGAAAGGCCAGAAAATGTTCTCTGGACCGGGGTCCTGCAGTTTGCTTTCGCTATCAAAAAGACAGACTCTGATTCCTTCTCTTCCCTGCTGCTAAGGTAATCCTAATCCTCCTGGAGGCTGTGGCTGCCCTGACTGACAACCTCATACAGGAGCAGCACAAAGGAGAAAAGACAGAGGCTTCCTAGCTCCAGTATCACCACAGAGCTGATGCAAGGCACCTGGCTCTCATTGTTCGGCATTGCCTAAAGCCACTGCAAAAGCTGTCACTTGATCTCCAAATGTTAGATACTTGTCATGGAGCTGGCGGGGTGAAGGGATGCTTCCTTGTGAGGTTGAAATTCTGCTCAGGAAACGGAGGTCTTGCTCTTTCACTATTGGGAAGAGGGTGTGCGTATGTGTGTGCGTGTGTACGTATGCTCACGCATGTGAGTGAGCATACATACTCACGCTCGTGCACATTCTTGCATGCAGGTGTGTGTGCATGTGTATGCAAGTTCATGTGAGGTCAGAGGTCAACCCTGGGTGTCATTTCTTGAGATCCTGTCCACTTTTATTTAAAAAAAAGATTTGTTTTTTATTTATGTGTATGCATGTTTGTGTGAATGTATGGCACATGTGTGGGTACCCAGAGAGGCCAGAAGAGAACATTGGATCCCCTGGAGCTGGAGTTTCGGGCAATTGTGAGATGCTAAACTAAGTGTGTGCTGGGAATGGAACATGGGTCCTCTACTGAGTCAGCTCTCTAGCCCCAAGGAGGCTGTCCACCCTGTTTTTGAGACAGAGTGTTTCATTGGCCTGGAACTCACAGGAATGGTTAGGCTGGCTGGCTAGTCAGCTCTGGGAATCTATCTTGTTCCTCAATCCCAGTGCTGGGATTCAAACCACACACCATCTTACCTGGCTTGGGTTCTGGGGCTCAGATTCAGCTGCACAGCTTGCAAGGCTGGGACTTTACTATCAGAGCTACCTCCTCAGCCCACTCATCATCCTTTGAGGGATGCTTTGAGTTCACACTCATGGTGGCTTTAGGGGAGAGCATGGCTGGGGAGGAAAAGGAGAAGCTGGCTCCAGGTCACAAGGTGGCTTGAGTTCCCCACATTTGCCAGTGGCATTGGTGCTGAGCAAACATGGCTCTGAACATACAGGGTGGTCGTGTCTCAGCTTCTCACATGCAATAGCTTGGGAGTGTGTGTGGAGCTGTCCCCACCCAGTCCCCAGACCTGCAGCCTCAGCTCCTGTCTCTGTCTCCTCCTCCGCTCCTTGGCTTTTCTCTTTTTTCATCGTCCCTTGATGCTCAGGCTGAGAGCCCAGCTGAGGCCTGGGGGAGGCACCTAATGACCACCCTGGATTCTGTTTGGAAGAATTAGCGCTTCAGCCCCCACAGGAGCTCTCTGAGGATAAACTTATCATGCACTTTTCTCTCCTTTCAAGCCCACGGGACATCTCCACATCGTTTTAGGAAGGGGCAAAGTTCATTTTTCATCCTTAGCTGCCCAGCATTTCTGCCTGTAAGTGGGCCCTAGTTTGAGCTGTGTAATCATTTCTGAAATAGCTTCTATCGCTGGAGTGGGCTAGCTGGATTCATTAGCGGTGTCTAATGAAACAGCACAGGGAGGAAGAGACGGCTAGTTGGTGGTGTGGTGAGATGGCCTTGCCTGTTCATCACACGATTTATTTCAGCTTAAAAAACCTTGGAGCTCATTAATAGTCTCTCTAAGAAGGGCCAGGCCTGGGAGAGCCATCTAGATTCTCTGAGCTCACAGGTCTAATGGGCTGCTGCCTTCTGCCACCTCCCATGGTATAGGATGTACACACCTAGGCACCGGCACCTGATCCGTTTTCTCTGATGGTTCCCTCAGAAAGGTGAACCGATTCCTGCTGTCACCCCCTTTACTGTCTCCTGTGCTAGAATCCTATCACTTCCTGACACAGGGCAGAATCTCCTCATTGTCCATAAACATAGGGACACACACACAGGAAAGGAAGCTCATGGAGTTGCCTTGCATCAAGTGTATATCTGCCTGAAAAAGACCTGGTTCTCAATAATTGGAAATCGAGCATCAAGGAAAACAACCTCTTTCCATGTAAGCTGTGGTATGTTTTAAACGGCAGATTCCTCTGATGCATTTAGAAATAGGTTTGGGGGGCTTGGAGAGAAGTCTGGGGGAGTAAAGTACTCGCTGCTCAAGCATGAGGACCCGAGTTCAGATTCCCAGCATCCTTGTTAAAAGCTGGGTGCAGAGGTGCAAGCCTGTAGCCCTGGCACTGGATGTGGGTGTGTGTGTGTGGGGGGGGGCAGGAGCAGGTGGGTCTCTGGAGTTAGCTGTCCAACATGACTGGTCCATCTGAGATCTCCAGGCTCAGTGAGAGGCCCTGCCTCAGGGAATAGGATGGGGAGTGGTAGAGGAAGGCACCTGACATTGGTTCCTGGACTCTGCTCATGAATGCATGGGCAGGCGCATTGTATGCACAGCCAGGGAGCAGAGTGAGTGCTGGAGCTCAGTGCACATTCTCTTGCTCAGTCTAGGACCTCAGCCCATCGCACGGTGCCCTCACATCTAGTGTGGACCTTCCCACCTTGATCAAACTAACAGGACTGTCCTGCACAGGTGCACCGGGAGGCTGGTCTTCTAGGTGATTCTAGGTCCTGTAAGTTTTGACAGTCACTATTAATGGTCGCAGTTGTTGCAACCAAAGGAAGAGAAGTGCTTTTGATGTGGGGTTGCTCAGCTGCCCAGGAGAGTGGATGTTCCTCTCGCTCTTCCTCACAGCCATGGTTGTATGTGAGTTTCGGCATTGTTTCTAATCTCTGTAAGAGCCCCAGACTAGAAGTCCCATGAGGGTAAGACCCTGTGTGATGATCAAGATCTGACCTTCTGGGTTTCAATGTGACTCAAGGGAGGAGGCCAGCATGAACAACCCAACCATGACAGAAGGGCACACCACCCTCAGAGAGCCTGAGAGGGAAGAGCAGGCCTCTTGGTTTGCATAATGATCTATTGGCTCAGGGGTAGGTCAGCCCTCACCTGCCAGGTCCTTCCTGTTGGCTGCTCACTCAGGTTTCTGAGTCTGCATGGACTGGTCTGGGTTGGTCCATCACCTCACTTGGTGGTGCTTGGTGATGTATGTCCCATCTGGTTGGTAAGATGAGCATTTCAACTCTAGTAGGTCTGTAACTGCGCATGCTCACAGAGGCAGGGACTGTCTCCATGGGTGCCTAGCTCAGAAACTGAGGTATCATTTTAGGAAGGAGTATAAACTCATGCTTCCTGACTTTTTTTTTTTTTTTTTAGAAAGCCACATGTTCTATTTTATTTCTGTTGCTCTGATAAAAGATCCTGACCAAAAAACAAGCTAGAAAACGAGGCTTATTCAGCTTATGAGACCAGATCACAGTGCATTACTGTGGGGAAATCAAGACAGGAACTTCAAACAGCTAATCACATCACATACACACATCAAGAGCAGGGCAAAATGAATGCATGTGTGTGCTCTGTTCAATTTCTCTACTCTTATTTAATTTAGAGTTCCATTCCTGGGGAATGGTGCCACCCACAGTGGGCCGTGTCTTCCCACATCAATTAACTGTTTAGTAAAGACAGTCCCACATAGGTGTGCCCACAGGTCAACCCAGTGTAGACCACCCCTTATGGAGACTTTCTTCTCAGGTGGTCCTGGGTTGTGTCAAGTTGACAAATAAATCTAATGATCACAGCACACAAACTCCAAATGTCAGTCATGAAACTGAGTGTGCTCTGGTCTCTGATATTTAATTCTTATTTTCTTCTCCTTGCTGATCAGCTTTTCCTGTTGTTCCTTACCCACTCTTACCTTCTCTAGGACCTTTTTATCCACCATTCCTCCACACTTCTTGCCCCTCTTGTCACTGCACAAAGCAACTTCTTATTTCAACACCTTCCTGTCTTTCTTTCCTGACAAGTTGGGATACTTGACATCTTGTTAAAAATGAAGATCCTGTAACCCAAGTGTCATTTATTACTCACCCAAAAAAATACCTTAGAATCAATGGATAAATATTCATTTCCAAGTAATGTGGTTTACTGTGCCTGTGAGAAAAACAAACGGAAAGTAATTGTTTCTTAAAAACTAAACCTTCCTTGTCTTGTGTTTTTGTTTTATTTTTCATGCAGGATCTGCTGTCTCTGCCTCCCAGCCTGGTTGAGAGTCAGGTAAGCACTCGTTTTATTCTAGGTGAAGATGCTGTATGTATTAGAAAGGAAGAGTGCCAATGTGCTTTTTTTGCTTTCTTAGTCAATATAGCCATGTGTCAGCATGGATAGGAGATAAGGTGACTTGCTATCAGCATTGGTGGCCTGTGGGCCTTTGGATGTTCCTTTTCACTCACAGTAGGGACTCCTGAGCCTAACTGACACATGCCTGCCAACAGACGCAGCACTCTGATCCCAGTGCCCCCCACTCCTTATATAGAACAGTCACTGTTAATAGGTCATCGAAGGCTCACGAGGTGAAGGCTCTTGGTATCTGTGATGGGTGAGCTCTAAAGATGGATTTCATTTTTCCAGTGGCTGTAGGTGGCTGAAGAGTTGGTTTTTAGCATTGTGGACTGCTTGTCAAGGAACCGTAGGCTTGCTTGCTTCTTCTACTGTATTGCTTGAAAGCAGTTGGAGGAAACCCTGCTACCCAGCCTCATCCCACTTTGCTACTGCTGGAAGTATCACAGCTCTGCCTTACGGGAACACAACTGCACCAAATGGATCTATGCCTCGGGGCAATGCTTTTTTTTTTTTTATTGATTCCAACCCTACCTTATTATTGTTGCTTAGCAAGGAGCTAATGTAATTTCTAATGAAGCCATGCGGCTTTCGAATGGATAAAGTAAGAGTTTATTTCCCCTGTGATGCCATGTCATCCTCTCTTCAATTAAAACCTGGGAAGGAAAATTAATATAAATGTGGAGATCTTCCCCTCTAAGATTAATGTCCAGACAGTAGATTTTCATTGTTCACGTGGGATTCTTGTGCTATAGAATTGGGGGGCACAGGGCTGGCCCTCCGGTTGGTGGAGATTAAGTGTGAGGTGCCTCACCAGGATGCTGAATCTGAGGTGATTATCATTTGTGGTGACTGGGCTATGCTCTGCCCTGTCCTGCCCTGCTGGGTCATCTGGCCAGCAGGGTTGCCATGTCACCGTCCCTCACCTTGCCCTCTGTAGCTCTTTTTATTGGCTGTCTGTCACGAGTCACTGGCAGAAGCTCTGTGTACCCGCCCTTCCCTCTCTGTGCGTGGGTGTTTGCAGGTGTGCATGTTTATGTGCATGCTCATGTATGTGTGCTGCATGTGTATGCGTGCATATGGAGGCCAGCGGACAAGCTCAGCACTCGCCTCTCAAAGCATCGTATAACTTGTTTGTTTTTCGTGGCAGGGTCTCTCACTTACCTGAAATTTGCCAGTTTCTTTAGGCTGGCGGGATAGTGAGCTGCAGAGCTCCACTGTGCCTGCCTCTCCAGCTATGGGATTGCAAGAGTATGCCACTACGCACAGCCTGATTTTTATGTGGGTTCCGGGGTGTGTGTGGGACGGTCGAACTGTCCTCACGCTTGCAAGGCGAGCACATTATCGACGGAGCATTCTCCAATTTTAAGGTGTATTTGTGGAGGTAAACACCAGCCACCTAGAAACGCATACTATAGTGGCATTTTGTACATTTGTCATAGGATGTAGTCACCACCCCTGTGTCCCTCACTCCACGGCCAAAGCCCTGCACTTGTTCCTCCCACCCCTGCCTCTCTGGTCCTGGCAGCTGCCAGCATGCTGCTTCTGTGGGGTTATCTGTTCCGGCTATTTCATATAAGCAAAATCATAGCGTGGATGACCTTTCATGTCTGGCTTCTGTCACAAGAAACAGTCCAGCACTGAAATGAGTGGCCATACAGGTCAGCATCTCCACACCAAGAACTTAAAACAAAGACTCAAGTAAGTGGAGGAAATACCCATTCGTAGTGGTCCTGTGTGTAGCAACCCAGAGGTGAGCTCAGCCCAACATCTGTCAAAAAAAACAGAACACAAACTGTGTTCCGTTCTTGCAATGGAGGACTACGTTGCCCTGGAAGGGGAGGAGGCTGTAATACAGGCTGGATGAGTCTCGGAATCATGACAGGCAGTATGCTTTGCCAGACCCAGTTTCTTTCTGTGTGATGTGGCTGCTTTGTCAGAAGCATTCTAGAGGGTGTGATCCTGGGAGAGGTGGGATTAGACCAGGATGGAGGGCTTTCCTGTGCAGCTCCTGGGCTCAGGGTTGGCACTATGGCTGGAGAGAGTGAGTAGGGAGTGTTGTTGGTCTCTGCAGAGCCTGGGGCTGTGATAGGGACCGGGTCTGATGCATTAAGCCTCCTGTTCTGTTGATTAAACAGGCTTGTTTGACCCAGTTATCCTGTTTGTCTGCCTGTCTCTCTGTATGTTGTCTATCTGGTTCTGTGTCAGCTTGACAAACAGTACTAGTGACTCACTCACTGGGGCTGTCATTGGGCCCTGTGGCTACTCTCAGACATTCTATCTCCCTGGCATGACTAGATTTGATCTTCTTCCTCTACGCACATGGGGCAGAAGCCCAGAGAGGTAAGACAACTTACTCCTAGTTGTACCCTTTGCAGCCTGGTTCCTTCTGTGTGTCTTGAGGCATCCCTTAGTTCTCCAGGCATGGGCATTTACACACTCCCCTGGTGATGGAGTTCTGAATGACCCACTGCAGTTCTGGCCTCCCTCAGTGTTTGAAGCCCCCAGAGCACCATGAGACATCTAGAGCTCCTTGGTGTGTGTGTGTGTGGGGAGGGGGTGGCGAGGAGATGCAGGTGGGTTCCAGGCATGCAAATGGCATTCCATGCTTCTGTCTTCCCAAGGCTTATGAGCCCAGTGTGACTGGCTGGGTTGATCTACAGTCAAGGTCAAGGTGACTGCTGTCTTCCTCCTCATTTCACCTGACCCGAGTCCTGCCTTCTGGGAGCTTCACTCACTTAGCAGAGGGCAGACTGTCTGCAGCGCTGCCGCTCATCTTGTCAAAGAAAGGTTCACAGAGCTGGTCATGAAGGTCCCCGGAAGCACAGGGACTGGCAGATGAGGTGGAGGAATGGCTGGTGAGGGTGGCCCAGGCAAGCCTACTGCCAAGCCAGACTGCGCCTGGCTCCCCAGATCAGACAGCTACCTTCCCTGCCTGGAGGGTGACACCCACCCCGTCTGCTCAAGGGGCCTGGGGCTGCTCACACATGTTCCCAGCATGGATTCCCCGCTTAAAATGGATCAGTCTCCCCAGCAGGGGTGCATTCTTGAAGCGTAGCTCCAAGCGGGCTAGCCTACTGAGGAGATTCCCCTCCTTCCTGGGCTCTGCCTGGAAACCTGGCAGTGCCCACAGGCCCGCTCAGGGCTGAAGTCAGCCCCAGGAGGGATGGAAGGTCTGACGCTGTTCTGATTGCGGTGGGCTACTCCCTCGATCATCGCCTGTGCCTGCCTCCTCTGAGCGCTGGCTGATGGACTCCCGTTTCCTGTCTCTCACAGTCCCCGTCACAGGGAAAACAAAATGAGAATATGCGGTTGCTACGCACCTCTTGGGTACATCGCACCTCTCCTCTCATCCTCCGCCCCTCCCTCCTCAGGGCAAAGCCCTTGGTCAGCCGGGAGGCACAGGGCAATCTGCAGAACAAGGACTGAGGTGGACTGAGATCTGGCACTTGTTGAGCACCTACTGTGTCCCAGATCCTTGCAAAAACAATCTTGTGTAAACTTCCTGATACCTAGAGAGAAAGGTAACCTCTAAACCTATGTCAGGAGGGGAGCTCCATGCTCCGAAAGGCAAGCAGGTGTTCACACAAGTCTCCCAGGTCCCTGGAGGAAAAGTTGAAGCTGGGAATTGAGGTGTGATCCACTCTGGTGCTTCCTTGAGGAGGGAGTTGAGTGTGCACACTGGGCAGACACCGTTTTCTAGATCCAGGCCTCTTTGTGACTTCTCAGAGTGATGGCTCGTCTCCTGTCTGTGTTGAGTCTGCCTCCTCCCACTGGCTGTTGGTTGGTAGATTTGGCTTTCTCTTTCCCCTATGTGACTGGCAAGGACTGCCTTCCCCCATCTTTTCCCTGCAGAAGGGATGCTTGTTTGTGCTCACAGCTGGTACCAGCCATCAATTAGCCCTGTAATCACAGCAGAATTTACCATCTGATCCACACAGTGGCTCCTGCCTGCTGCAAAGGTGCTGTTGACATTGATGTGGGCAGCTGGCTCCTCCAGGAACTAACAGTGCCATAGGTCCCAGGACAGCCACCTGGAGCTGCCTGCCCAAGATCTCCATGCTTATCCCACCTTTCTTTGGGGGCTACTGCTTGCTCTAAGTATAGCATCTAAATGCCCAAGCATGATCTAGCTCTAGTCAGCCTTCTGATCTTGCTTCTTTCCTCCTTCCTGGGCCTCACACCCTCAGACCCAGCCTGAGTCCCATCAAGGACTCTCCTGCTTCATACTCACTTTTCCAGTGCTTAAGATTTTACTCTTCATGGCTCTGTGTGCTCTGAAATAATCATTCTTTCTTGTCATTGTTATTCATTTACTCCTTTGCTGGCAAAACAGAAGCTCTGAGGGAGGGATGGCTCTGATAGCACAGCTTGAGGAGTTCTGGTGAACACCTGCCAGATGGAACAGGAGCCTCACCTAGAACCTCAGCATGCCTGCTCCACTCTGTCAGGTCTGGGGGCTCCTTGCCACATCCACATTTTAAATTGCTTTACTCATCTATTTCTGTACCAACAAGAGTTTCTTAAATTTGATAATTTTGCATCTCTCATCTTTGCAGTTCATCAGCTTCTTAGCATTTTGGTACAGGGAGAAGATACTTGGTAGATGGATGGCTGGGTAGGGCTGGATTGGCATATGCATTTATATGCAAGTGAGTGGATAGATGGATTGTTAGACGTATAGAATGATGGATAGATGGGCATATTGATGGATAGGCAGATGCGTGGATGGATAGGGATGGATGAACAAACATGATGAATGGGTGGGTAGATGGATGGGTAGAATGCCAGAGAGATGAGCATATTAATTGATGGGCAGATGGATATGTGGTGGATATATAGACACATAAATAGATGCTGTTACTGGTCAACATTTGTGCTTTACACACACACATGAGCGCGTGCATGAATCACACACACTCTCACACTCACAGGTG